TGGGGACTTCAACAGCTGAGTCAAGGGAGAGAATTATTCCAGGAGAGGGAGGGACAGCTTTTGTGGCCTCCATCATGCGGGAGGTCAGACTAGATGATCATAATGGTCCCTTCTGACCTTAAAGTCTATGAGTCTATGAGAAATTAGCAATGACTGTAAGAGAATTTTAACTATTGGTACAATACCAAACTTGTGTTGTTACTAAGTACATGGAGCTGAAATTCCATTATGTTACTGTACCAGGTAGTTCAGTACAAATGGCAGTTTTCTTTCTGTCTCGTAAAACCAGAAAATGGGGAGTCTGTGCACCCAGATTTTGGCTTCTCAGTGCCACTGCTACGAAGTGATAACTAAGGGATGTGAAAGAGTAAACAAATCTCTACAACTAGTACACATTCTAGTGGTCTGTTCATTTAGTAGCAGGCCTGTGTACAAATTCCAGAGAAATAATTGTCTGACAGTTAATTGTTTTTCGTTAGGGAATAATATTCTCTATACTTCTCAGGTCTCTCCTTGTCTTTCCCATACATGCATAGCATTAGATGCCTTTATATACCTGTGCTAACTAGTGACAGACTAACACCTTTTCATGGATCATATGATGCCCTTCTATGCTAAAAGGTACTTAAGCCCCAGTATCAGCTGAAAGTTGTGACAAACACTTAGTGCAGGAGTTAAGGCCTAGTATGCCTTCGTATACAGAGGGAAATTTTGGTTGTATCTGTCAGTGGGTATGGCTAAAGGAGCAACATAACATGGACCCAAACAGTCAAGATGAACACAGCCTAATTTATAGATACCCAGGCTCCCTAGGAAATACATCAGGGAGTTTCAGACTAAGTACAAAAGCATTACTATAAAAAGTTATGTCTGTCTACTATACCATAATACTGAAAGCACGAATAAGTGCAACTCACTGCTAACACCACAGCTTAAACAATTAGCAGAAAAATTTCAATGCATTCTACTCTATGGGAGTGAAGTTTGGGGCCCAAGTTTAACAGATAATTATGCCAATTGGGACATAAACCTAGTTAAGGGAAACTCTATAACTACAGTCCTGCAAACAAAATCTGGGTTCAGCATCAATGGCTACAAAGCAGAACTATGATAATGCCACCCACTCAACCAATTTACAGACAAGAACACCCACTTTTGGTGCCATTTCAACCAAAACAGCAAAGTGCTCGAGGATAAAATACCAAACCCAAATGAAAACCTAGTGCACTCCACATCGCTCATAGATCACAACAGCATTAGTCTGACCAGTGACACAGATAACCCCACCCAAAACCAAACCGTGCTTGAGAAACAAGCTAGTTTCTAAAATACAAATACGCATATGCAAGCCTCTGTAGGGGGGAAAAAAGACAAATAATTAGATTTCTGTATCTCCACACGCAGACGTATCATACTAGCAGAGCGATTCACCAAAGTGAAATGTGCAAAAGTAAGGCAGAGTGTCACTAAATACAGAACAAATGGCATAATGTAGAGGTGGAAAAAGAGAGACAGAAAGCATAGAGAAAATGAGGGAATGACTGTGCATCAAATACGATGAAAAAGCTGAAATAAGATACCTGCTTTTGAACAAACTACCCACATACCCATGTTATGACACTACAGAAAAGTTGAAGCTATTTAGCTATCTTGTTTTCCATGTTATGGAGAATTATTGTTACTATTGATAGGTCGCATATTTAAGCAAAGATGGTGCTGCTGGTATTTTTCAGTCTATACTGCTACATTTCTCCAGGATATGTGCCATGCAAGCCATGGGAACATATGGCCTCATGTTTGTATTGCCTTATTCAATTAGGGTGCCCTACTGAGCTATGAAATACAAAACCAAGCTGTAGAAACTAAACAAATTAGCCGAAAATATCTAGTCCCATAGAAACATTCTATGTTACATTGTTACAACCCATAAGAACCCTCCCCCAGCACAACATAAATATTAGTTATACATATATGAAAGAGGTAGGTGGAAAATAATGATCTATTTACTTCACTCATCAACATTTATTTGATTAAAAGTAATAATTATTTGACTGAAAATAACACCCAAAACGTGAATGTGAATAAAAGAGGTGCCAATGTGGGTACCAGACTGGGTTCTGATATCAGCTTTGCCAATAACTTGCTCCTTAACTGCTCTGTAGTTCAGTTTCCCCTGTAAAGAGGGATAATAATGCTTGTTTGCCTTTGTAAAGAGCTTTGAGATCTATACATACGTGCTAAATACTATTGTTCTAAAAACAGCTGGGCCTGATTCTGATCTCATGGATGTACACCAGAGCAAGTCAGGAGTAAGGTAAATGGAGCTGCACTAGTGAGATCAGAATCAGGCCAGGTGTGGTTTGGTTTGTTTTCAAACAGGAAAAAAATGGACAATGTATTTATAGTTTTCAAAACCCCTAAATAATAAGCTATTGTTTTAAAGCATTAAGTACTGCAAAATTGAGGTAAGATGGTAGGAGTCCTGTACGTCTGCTGAATGTCCTGTGGTAGCGGCAGTACCTGAGGAAGGAGTATGAGAGCAGGCTCTGGTTTGTATGTGGCCAGGGGTTAATTAGTTTATCACATTTTGGTTAATCTGACCCAGCATTGGAAAGTGATCATCTCTGTCCTTTCAGTGATTTCCCCCTCCCCCAAATCTTATTTTGATGTCTTTCTCTTGTGGTTCTTTTCTATCTGCAGGGAATCTTTCCCTTAGTAGCACTTTCCAAACATAGCAATACTTCGACACCACTGCAGTGAAAGCTATCTGAAAGGTATGCCTATCAAAGGTGAGTTCCTTTTTTTTTTTTATATATATAAAGAGATTAATGCAAAAAGGGACTTAATACCTCTCTTTAAATATCTTATAGGTGGGGCTGGTAGCATGGTATATTATTATGGTTGCCCAACACTTCCCATAATAATATCTTGTTCCAGTTGCTTATAATATTGCCAAACTTTAACTGTTTGGGCTGAAAGTTTCCATGCTGGGTGTCTATTTGAGGCTGAATGTTTGTGGAAAATTTCAGGTAAAATGGTTCAATAGTTTCTGAGAATGAAGCTGGGAATAAGACGACATTTTGCCCAGGTTAAGATCTTTCTTTGAGTGGAAGCTGATGGGAGACCGAGATCAGATGAAGTGCTGATGAGGAGACTGGGAATAAGTGGCATGGGTGGAATGAGCTGAGGGGACAGAAGACAGATATGCTGAGGAGCTAGAATGTGGGGGAAGAAATGGGACTGACTGGGCAAAGAGATCAGGACAAGGAAGTGGGTAGGGAGGAGACACTGAGATTGAGGGAGACTGGAACTGGGAGCCATTGAGGAGGAGGAACGTGGGCCTGGGGGCAACTGGAGGCTATTAGAGGAGACAGATCGGATGAGAAGCCGGGATGGGAGAACTGGGATGGCTGGGCAAGGAGACTGGGGACAAGAAGATTTTTTTGTGGGGGGGGGAGAATGTCTGCTACTGCTCTCATTTACATGGTTAGCCCAAGTGGCAGAGGCCTGTGCAATGCAGCTAAAAGTTCCAGCCCTGCTGCTGATCCATATGGATGTCAATATGATACCACAAGATGGAATTTCTGTTTTTGCTGTTTGGTTTTTTAAAAATCTACAAAACGACACACCCGGACACAATACAATCATATGCATCCGAAGAAGTGGGCTGTAGTCCACGAAAGCTTATGCTCTAATAAATTTGTTAGTCTCTAAGGTGCCACAAGTACTCCTGTTCTTTTTGCGAATACAGACTAACACGGCTGCTACTCTGAAAATACAATCAAAGAACATAAAAGTTGTAAGTTCAAGCAGTCAACAGTTAGGAAATGCTTAATTAAAATTACCTTTGCAACATTAATGTGTTCCCCTTGTGCATATACAGTCTTTAACTACATGACCACATGCTATTTTCTCCATAGGACCCCTGCTTTATTCACTGCACAGAATGGCCCTGCTCTGGGGAT